CCCCCCCACTCCCGCCGCCGCTCCGCCACGCTCAGCCCGGCCTCCTCCGCCCCACCCCACCCGGCAGCACGGGGCCGGGCTCCGTCGTGGCCCCATTGCGGCAGCACCGTCGTGCCGCCGCCGCTGCCTCACTCTGCTCCGGCGTCGTGTGTGCCGTGGCGGTTGGTGGTCCCACTCAGCCCTGTGGCTATCCTCCCCCCCCGCCCCCCAAAAGAACAGATCCTGTCTCCAGCCTGCTTGGAGCTGGTGGCATCCATCCCTCCCTCCCTCCTTCCATCCATCAATCCCACCCTCCGCCTGCGGCGGGGGGGGCGCAAGGAGACAGGCAGGATGCATCCCAGTAGTGGGGGGGGGGGGCTGTGTCCCGGCCCGGGAATGCCATCAGCGCCGATACAGAAGGGATTTCACCTTGATGGCCACGACCCACCAACCCGCTCCATCCCTTCGTGGCTCCGCTCAGCAGCGTCAGCCTCGGCGGCCGGCACCTCCCCGGCTTTTTCCGCAAAGGGATGGACGCCGTCCATCTCCTGCCACACCGGCAGCAGGGGTGCGACACCCTGCCGCCCCGCGGCACCTACAAACCCTCCGCACCGAGCAGCCGACAACTTTTTATTAACTGCCGGACGCACGTTACAGTCACTGGCCGCTGCTGGCAGCACCTCTGGGCCGGCGGCACCCGCATATCCCCATGCCGAGGGGGGGGACGCCGGCCCGGCGCTGCCCAGGGCCGATGCCAGCCGGCCCGTGGGGCTGGAGGGGTGAGCACCCGGCACCCCCCTCAGAGGAGGAGGTGGAGGGAGTACTCGGCGCGCGGCCAACGCCGGGCCGGCCGGGTGGTGCGACCGATCATGGGCAGTTTCTGGGCATAGCGGGAGACGTGACCGGGTCCGTGATGCTGCGGGAAGCTGGTCTGGAAGAGGCGGCCCTGGCAGCGTCGGCCGGCTTGGCGACCCGCGATGACGAAACTGAACCGCGGGGCGCCGCGAGGCGCGAAGCGGCATTTCTGGAAGACGTCGCGGGCGCCTGGCCGGTGGCCGGGCTGCCG